CCTCTTCATTTCGAATCGTGTAAGTGAGCGGGTGAGAGAGAGAGAGCTCAAACAGTGGGAGCGGGTCCGACTACGCCTATTGTTCGTCATTGCACGTCCAAGGGGCCATGCTGGTATCCTATATTTCCCATCGAGGGGAGATATCCCCCAGTAAACCTCCACTCTCCCCGTTATCTCCATCAACGCCTCTCGTCTCCCTGACTCTCGCATCCACACTCTTCCAGCGCAAGCTCCGAGCGAATATAGTGCAGCGCAGAGTATAATCGATATCCTCCCCTCTCCCCTCCCAACACATGTTGATGGGGGAAACTACAGGAAAGTAGGGAAGACATAGATGCAGAAAGACAGAAGCAAAGAGACGATGGCATTGATAGAGACAACGGCAGGGATTGGAGATTGACTGGGGGGGGGGCAGGAAGAGGGGAATGTCCCCGTCGAGGGGAACTATAGCATACGCCCCAAGAGCGAGTTCTACATATGGCATTTCCGGCATGTTTTCTCCACTTTTTTCTTCATTACTGAATCATTAACCACCCTGTCATTAGTACTTGAGCAACATATCTCCTCCTTTTTAAGCCCGGGGCGTCACTTCCGCTTCAGGTTAAGATATGTAAGGACAAAGCTATAACGATTTAGAAAACAAGGGTAACGAACCATTCCAAAACAGACAGCATTCACACGTACACCACGACGAGCAGCACTGAGAGCCACATTCCTAGTGAGACCAAGAACAGCCGTTGATGCCACCGATAACAATCCAATGTCTAGTCCTGGAGTATATCCAGCGCACGACGTCAGATACACTACGGCACCGTTCCAAAAACATAAGGAATTTGAGTAATGAAACATACCGCATAAGAGAAACTTGGTGATGAAAAGTGGTGGAACGGACAATGGGAGTTTTTAAACGAAAAAGCAACTTACTTTTGACTTTTCTAAAAATGGAAGGGCAGCTTGAGTTAGTCGAAATGGAATTGTCAATCGGTCGTTGAATAACTAAAATGAAAGAACAATAGGAACTTTTACAACTATTGAGCATGTTCCAAATGATCCAGACAAAATCCAGGAGCACATAAAGAGCTGCTATGGGGAGAAATGAAAGTCACTGTGAGAAACAGCCGACATCTAAACTAGAAAGGCCAAACTTTCATAACTCTACTATTATTTTGTTTTCCCGGAGCGATTAGACAAGAGTAAGAACCTTTCCTTAACCCTCGAATATTGCGTCCCAAATTATCTCAGCAATGGATTATGAAGCGCTGAAGGGAGCTTTTCGCAGATAAAGAAGCACACAAAAAAGGGGTCAGAGCCATCCGCTTGGATCGCTCCAATCACCTGACCGTTCCCATTCTCAGAGGCATTAGGCAGTTCTTGCTGTGGGCGAAAGTCTTGGAAAAATACGACCTCTCCAAGTTTTTTCTGGAACGACCACCCGCCCCCCCCTCTCGCGACTTCTGTCACTGACCTACGTGGCTTTCCCTACTTTTCTTCCAAAAACAATACTGTCGTTCGAGTGGGCTGACCGAGAGGGGAGGGAGGGGGTTAGCGCCAATGTGAAAGCCATGAAAGTCATCAGCCATAAAAAGTTGTATCGCACCAAACGAAATATTAGGAAGCAAGGTATTTTTGATGAAGGCGTCGTATTTGTGCTCGTCGCTTCGCTCAAAGCGACGAGCAAATGCGACCCCTTCAACGGGAGGCTCCTAACGTTGTGAAAACGCGCTGAAACAGGAAAAATCAATGATAAAAACATTCTCAGGTAAATGCGTCCCCTCCTTTTTACCACACGCCAATAAAAGACTCGCCTGTAGGCAGACCCCACCTCACGAGCCGTGGCCTCGAGAGGCATCTTGACGTTGTTGATAGCTCCAAACGCAACCCGAGTGAAGGGCCAATTTCTTCCAGTATACCTCCGCGATAGTACGTGCGAACTGAGCGATTCAACTCATAGGTGTCCAACTAGATGGTTGCGTCGCCCAACACAGTGAAAATAAATTGCGACTCTACAAACCTTATCAAAATCCTTTATATTAGTGTCGATAATGTCACCACGCACGTTATTGTCCGGAGGCACAATGACCAATGAGTCCAGTGCTCCCAACTCTTGTACAACCTGCAATCAAGTACTAACAATAATCTGAATTCATAAGTTGGTCATCAAGAATAAACATGTACAAATTATACGCACCAACTCGCTTCTATGGGCCTTGTCTTCTATGTTGACGGCGAAACCAACAACCTTACCGCCAACCTGAAACTCGCAGTTATTTTGACATCGACCTCAAGCACCAGCTGCATTATAGAGCCGATAATTCGAACTGCAACACTGCAATGTGAGACAAACCAATCGAAACAACCATAATACAACCTACGCTGAGTCAAGAGGGCAAGAGGAAAGAAAATAGCTCTTACGCTAGGCAAAACGCCGCCGTGTCAGCCGAGCCGAAAATTTTAACTCTGGTACCTACAATCCTGAGAACCACTCCCGTGTCCCTTTGGAGGTACCGAACATTAAAAGGTTAAGGCTGCGTTCATACTTTGCGGCAGCGTACGCCAGCGTTTCCAGCGTTCGGCAGCGGCAGTGACAAGGAAAGGATAGATATCGATCTAGCGTTTGCCAGCGTCACCAGCGTGCGCTAGCGTTACCCTAGATCGATATCTATCCTTTCCTTCATTGCCGTTGCCGAACGCTGGAAACGCTAGCGTAGGCTGGCGTACGCTGCCGCAAAGCATTAACGCAGCCTAAGGAAGTGGGAAAACGCTTGAAACTAAGCCGAATGATCTACAAGATAAAACCTTAAGTGGAACAACCTTCGTATTCTCAAATTAGTTCCTGCGAAACAGTAACGAACATTGAGAAAAGGAAGGAAAACCTGATGGTGAAAGGTATCTGGTACCCAAATAGCACAAACACTGCCCGTAACATCACAGCTGCCCATTACACAAAATTCGTTTGAGTAACCAAAAAAACGTCTTGGAAAAAAAATTTTCAAAAACCCCATTGTCTGCGGCTAGGTAAACCGATAGTGCTTCGAATTCACCACATAATACCATTTACCTACCATTTACTCCCCTTAACTCCTTTCTTCCACATTGCCCTCCCCCAAGATGTCACTGTCACTTCCGTACACGTCAACGGTTGTCATCAATGTAATCATCATTGGAATTTTTCAAATGCACACGGAGCGTCACGACTGGGCAGCCATCACATGGAACATCACATGCACATGAATTATGCAACATACACATTTACATGAGTCACGAAAAGTGACTCACTATTGAAGAGCCAGAAAGTGCGTATAGAGTCTAACATGAGGGGTACATCACAAGGCGATCTGAACCAATCATAAGAGGTTAAGCGCGCTTTTTAGTGCAGCAAATGGCGTTCTATGTCCAGGATCCTCTGCAACAAAATAGTTGTCGGAGCGCCTCAAATTGAATATCTTCACAAGCTTTCGTTCGTTCCAGTCGCATTGCGTGGACTGATTTGCGACCCTCTAGCCTTACTGTTTGAACAGCCTCGACGTTGTTACCCGTGGAAAGCTGACGTCAAGGACTCACCTGTATCTATGCAATCCGCAGAGTTCAGTGTAAGCTATTTATAGTCTTTCTAAGTGTGGCGAAACACATCCTTTAGATGGAATAAGCGTACTTCGTACAAATGTCGACTCTGGCCGTAAGACTGCCAGTCTGCCAGTCTGAGGGTCCTAAGCGGCCTAGCTGATGCCTTAGATGCCACTGGTTCGAACACTGCATACGCACGTGAAAATAGCTGGTGCCCACCGCGATCAATCATCCAATCAGGAGAAGTGGCATATTTATATCAGAGCAGCGGACCCGCCAGCGAGGAGGAAAAACGCTGAAGAAGAAGGAAAATGTGATATGTGCTTTCTTTTTCGCTGTCACAGTTTCAATCGCAAATTTTCCACAAGGCCTTTGAAGGCATAAGACTATTAGCTAACTCCCCCCCCTCCCCGCCACCCAATTTTTTATAAACCAGTCGGATCGCCCGGCTGTCGCCGGGCGCTCCTCCTTCTGTGACATGGCCCGGCTTCGCCGGCCATGCGGATTTGCCGCGTGCTAAGTTAAGGATCGTTGACCAACCACACTGTTCAAAGGAATCTTCTGCATCAGCCAAGAACTGAAAAGCAGCGCTTGTTCCGTCAAGGCGCAGAAGCAGCAGCAGCGCCCCCCCCCCGCATCACAGAAGGAGGAAAGCCGGCCTTAGCCAGCGATCC